AGCTGTGCCTCAGGTCATGAGCAGGTAAGCAGTGAGCCTCAGTGACCAGGTAGCAGGCAGGGGCATAGAGACAATTGCCCACAATAAAATTTAAAATATAATGGAATGTTAAAGAGTCAGTATGATTCAGCTCCTGTCTACCTGGGCAGTTCCAATTCATAGACATAAGTCCTTGGCAAAACAAAACTACTGACAGCTCTTCTCTCTTTCAAGTAAATGCATGCAAACATGTAGACACACACACACATACACACTCACTCATTGAACACAAGGCCCACTCATCCCTTTTAAGAATCTACTTAATATGCATACTGGTTTTAGCAGCACTTTCTGGACAGTCTATCCTAAAATACATATTATGAAATTCTAGTTAATAACTTTCATGTCTTTTCAGTGTATTTTCTTTTTAATCTATCTTCCTCCCACTAGACTGAGAGCATTTATAAAGTCAGGGCTGTATTATAATCCTTGCATGTACTGGGCATGGAATACAAAAGTCACTCTATACAACTGCCTAATGAAATTATTAAAGTGTCTTCTGTATTTTCATCTTTTTTTCCTGTTTAACAATAATTTCACAGATATAAATTGGATATGCCTAATGTATGGCCCTTTAAAATATACTTTAAATTCAGTTCTCCAGCAAAGTTGTAAGATGGATATTAACAGTCTAGTCTTAGAAGAAAACTGAGAGAGTGCATGTAAAATACAACAAGTTATTGAATTATTTTGCAAAAATTTTAGGGAGATGTCATAAATAAGTACCAATTGCTGGATCCTGAATTTAACAGTGACTCAATAACTGGTGCTCCTTAACAACTCTTGATCAGTAACTAGTGCCAGTGCATACTGATAGCTGCTAAGTGCTTGTCAGCGGAGGTACAGATATAGCGCAGCTGCTCACGATTATAAATGAATGGCTTGTCTTCTTTGCCCAAGTCCATTCCTTCCTTTCTTCAGAGATCATTCTAATCCTCAGTTCAATCCCTTCGTTCCCATAAGGCCCATGCTCCTCATTTATAGAGCTCACTTCACAAAATGAGACAGAGCTCTCCTCTGGGGGACTTCCTGACCCCACTTTGGGGGAACACATTCTTTCCTTTTTCCCAGCATTTTAAAAGAATTTCCTTCCTGGCTTTAAGGAACTGAGCGCTGCCCATTTCTTGTCAGTTTTAAAGCTGATGAGTTGCAGCCTTGCCTAAGTACAATCAAACTAACAAAGCCAGTGAGCGTGGAAAGCACAGATGGCTCCACTCAGATAGACTAAGCAGGGCTTCCTCAAACCCAGTGGAAATGCGTACACTCTCTAATGTTACAGGAGTGCCACGGGACATCCATGTCCCACCAAGTGGCATACCCACTGCCTGACTCAACAGAATAGTCCCTGCCACCCCTGATGACACCATTCTCTTCTTTGTACTTTGATGACTCCTTGGGGATTTTAGCAAGAAGGAAGATGAAGAGAGGAAGCAGACCAGAAAGTCAAGTCTGAAGATGGTCCCAGACAAGTTAATATTTACTCAGAAGAGAATCTAAGCTTTAGAATCCTACTGTTAGGAAAATAGAGTAGAAAAGGACTTTTGAGGTCATTTAATTCACTGGTAGTAAACTTTACCTGTACGCCAATTCAAAAAAAAGGAAAACACCTATAAATGTGGCAAAACTAGATCTTTTCAATTTAATGGATTTTTTTTATGACACATTTCTTCAAATCATGCAACCCTTCTTTCTGGTCAGGTGTCAGAGAATGAGATGTACATTGCTGCAAAGAAGAAAATTCACAATATAGGTCACAAATAATAACTCTTTACTGATCCATTTCAAAAGACAAGTCCTAAGCTTACTAACAATACTGCCTCCAATCACATGTATCACATGCATTCTCTTAGTTAAGCCTCATGCCAAAACCTGTTGGTGTGGTAGACAAAGGCCTTCCAAAATTCCCCATGTTCTAACACCTGGAATCTCCTACCTTTGGTGGCTTTTCAGCATGATTAAAAACTAGGCCCAACCTAGTCACAAGTCCTCATTACGAAGATGCATCAGGATGAGATGAAAGCGACCTGATGACTGATGCTGCAAAAACAGTAGGCACATCAGTTGAAGACACTGGCTACTAGCTCTGCATAGAAACCAAGGGATTATGGACTAAGGAAAGCAGTCGACCTCTGGAAGGTGGTAAAGGCAGAGTAGGACCGTCCCCTAGAACTTCCAGAAGGAACACAGCCCTACCAGCATGCAGGATTTTTGACTTTCAGAGCTGTGAGTTCATAAATTTGGGTTGTTTTAAGCCACAAAGTTTGTGATAATTTCTTAAAACAGCAATAGAAAGCTAATAATTTTAGTAATAATAAAGTTATGTTTAACCCAATTTTACATATGCTAAAATCAATGCAAGATCAAGTAATTTTCCTTAGGTCAAAAAGTTAGAGTAATAGAAGGAGGAGATAAATGGCTCCAGTCTGGCTCTGAGCTTGCTTGTTTGCCCACTGCATCAGATTACTTTGTTGTAGCAATCAAGAAATGTAGAGAAATAATTAGAAAAAAAGATTATCCTGGTGTCAGGTGAGAAACAAGAAAATCAGAAGTGAAGACTTTGAGATTCAGGTGGAGTGTGACAAGGGCCCTGCAATCCCTCTCCAAGGCCAAGAGCTAGGATGGAGAAGGTGTATTTGATTTGTTGCGCTTGTCTGTGGACTTCCTGGCCTCCTTTTTCAAGGAGAAGCCAGGTTGGTGGCCAGCCTCTTCAGCTGGCATGGTGCAGGGGCAGAAGAATCAGTAGGGCAGAGTCTAGATTAGTGTACCTGAGATGTGCTTGCTGAGTTTTGCTGAGTTTCCTTGCATACCCACTGACAGAGAAGGCTTGGTATTTATTTTATACCCCTAAAAAGGCATTGATATGGGAACAAAGAGCTCTTGGACCTAAAGAGAACCTGTGGAAAGAAATTAGTGATTCAGGAGGTCCTGCCCAGGCTGCTGCCCAATGGCAGGAGGGGAGACTGGGTTTCTCAGGGAATGCCAGCCAGTGTAGATAATAAACAAGCCCTAGATATGACCATGTGTGCAGCTGTGCGGAGACATACATTGTGACACAAAGGCAACACTTGGCCCCTGAGACTCAGTTAGGACCTTATATAGAAAATATGTGTAGCGGGCCTGGCACAATGGTTCAATGGCTAAATGCTCACTTTGCAAGCACGAGGATCCCGTATGAGCATTGGTTCATGTACCAGCTGCTCTATTTCCCATCCAGCTCTCTGCTTATGGCCTGGGGAAGCAGCAGAGGATGATCAAAAGCCTTGGGACCCTGTACCTGCATGGCAGACCTGGAAGAAGCTCCTGGCTCCTGATGAGCTGCTGCAGCCACTTGGAAAGCGATCCCCAGTTCCTATCCCTTTGCCACAGAGATTTCCTGAAATATGACTTATGCTTACTCCTGAGTGACGTGATCTGCAACAGATGGGTCCCCAGCAGCACCATGTTTGCCTCTTGTCTTGTGCAGTTGATCTCTTAGAGCACAGGGTTGTTCCTGAAAGTCCTAGTCTACTCAAAGGCTGCTGCCCTTTGCAAGTGGCCTTTACTCCACAGCTTTTCATGGATGACCACATTTTTTTTTCTTTTAAAAATAACTATGGGGCCCGGCGCGGTGGCACAGTGGTTAAGGTCCCTGCCTTGCCCGCCCCGGATCCCATATGGGCACCGGTTCTATCCCAGCAGTCCCACTTCCCTTCCAGCTCCCTGTCTGTGGCCCGGGAAGGCAGTCCAGGACAGCCCAAAGCTTTGGGACCCTGCACCCGCGTGGGAGACCCGGAAGAGGCTCCTGGCTTCGGACTGGCATAGCATCGGCAGTTGTGCTCACTTGGGGAGTGAATCATCGGACGGAAGATCTTCCTCTCTGTCTCTCCTCTCTGTATATCCGCCTTTCCAATAAAAAAAAAATAATAAAAATAAATCTTAAAAAAAAAAAAACTATGGATGGAGTGAAACTTGACTCTGGGTAAGCTACTACTTGGGACCTACTGGTCCACATTAGAATGTTTGGATTCAAGACCTTTCTCCTCCTTTCTCAATCCCAGCTTCCTGATAATCCATGGCCTGCCTGGGAAGGAGGCAGCAGATGGTGAGTCAAGTGCTTAGGTCCCTCCCGCCCACATGTGAGATTTCAATTGAACTTTAAACTCAAGCCTGTCCCATCTCTTCCTGCTGCAGGTATTTTGGAGAATGAACCATCAGAAGCAACCTCTCTCTCTCTCTCTCTCTCTCCATCTCTCTCTACCTTTCAAGGAAATTAAATAAATAAAAAGAATGTCTAGTTATGTTTGTTTGGTTTTAACAGAAGCAAAAATCTCATTCATCATAAATTTTGTAAAAATGAAGGTAAGAAGTAAATAAAAAATGCATCTGTAATCCCATACTCTAGTAATAACTATAATTACTAGTAAGTTTTTCCTTTTAGCATTTAATATACTTGAATATATACACAGGAAAAGTTTTTCACAGTTGGAAACACCATTAAATAGTTTTCACCTGTTCTAATAGAAAATACTAAACAAAATATTTAACCTTGCGGACAAATATCCAAATGTGGGTACAACAAAGGCTAAATTCTCCTCTCAATTCTATTTCCTGCCACCCAGTTCTCTCCTCAAAGATAATCTTATTATAAACTTCTACATCCTGCTAGAAACAATTTTATATAAAATAGATGTGCATCTTTCACACAAATGCAACCCATGAAACACAGTATCCTGTTTGTTACTTATATTACTAAGCAAAATTATCTTGTCTTCTTTCTTTTTTTTTTTTTTTTTTGCAAAATATTTTTGAGATCTTTCCACACTAGTACATAAAGAACTACCTGCTTCTTAGGTCCACTGTATCAGATGCCACTGAAACACTCCTCCTCCTAGTCAAGTTGCTAGAAAGCTTGGAAGGAAAGGATGTGTTTAGTGGAGGCAGGAGCTAGCATCAAAGGTCCACTTCCTTTCCTTCTCCTGCAGCTCCCCCTGCTCCAGAAGACAGAGTTATCTCTAAGCAAGAAATGGGAAACCTGAAATTCACCCTGATGGATGACGGGGGAATGGAAGACTGTGAGCAGAACCCACCACAGGAGGTGAGGTCGTAAGTCTTTGTAGCTCTGTCTTCTTAGTGGAATCTTAGATATAGGATCACTATGAAAAGAAAAACGAAACAAAACTTGCTAAGGCTCAATATGCTGGGAGAAAAAGAAGGTGAGCAGAGAATTTAGGGCAGGTGAAATTGCTAGGGATTGAGGGATGCAACAAGGGGGCAGAAGACCAGGAACTTTTTCCTTTCTAGTGCAGGAAGGTAAATGGAGGAGCTGTTCTTGAAGGTTAGCAACAGTGAAAACTTGTAGCCGAGGAACCATCTGGGGGAGTGAAGGCCCTTTGTAAGGAACACAGCCCAACCAGTTTGGGGTCTTGCCAGAAGGGACCTGGGGAAATAAAATCCCAACCTCTCTCTCCTCCTTACTTCATCTCTGCCAATTAATGAACCTAACAGGAAATCTGTAGTGAGAAATAAGTCTGGATCAGGTGATCCAGTCACTAGAAGTCAGCTCCCAGGGCACAGAGGAGTGTAGAAAAGGGTTGGGATACTCAAAACATCCAGTACAGCACTGATGGAAAATGATACTCCAGGCCACTTTCATCTAAAATTTTTTATTTTGACTTCTTTAGATACTTCTGAGAGGAAATATGCTTTGTGAGGAGGCTGTATCTTGCTAAGAAATAGTTTTCTGTCCACCCCTGCCCCCAAGTGGTTGCTTGCCAGATAGGTCTCCTGTTGTTTTATGGCAGACAAGCAAATACCTGGCAGCCCAAAGGGGAAAGGCTTTTTAAAAAGGACTATCTTGCCAGTTCCTAGAGATTCAGACTTCTTACACAGAAAGAAAACCTAGACAATCTTTGTCTCTCCTCCCTCAAATTCACAAGCAGAACAGTTCTGAGTGCATGTAAAATAGAAAACAGCACTCCCCCAGACTTGTCATGCGAAAGGACAAACATGAGGGATGGAGTGAAGGAGTGCCTGAAGCAGGTATGGGCAGGTGAACCGTTCACCTGGGAGGGAGCTGCACAAGAAAACAGGCAAGCTGCTTAGAAAAGAGAAAGATTCCTTCCCCATTAGAAAATAGGAAGAGGAACTCTTGCCTTTTGCTTTCCAAGGCTTGGTACCTTTAGACAGTTCCACTTACACTGCTGTTATTTTCCCTGGAGTAGGGGGGAGCATATTTTCCATGCATGTCAACAAATCACTTAGGCCACATTCTGTTAAATGTGGGTTACCAAGCAGGGGTTCAAGTGCTTGGGTCATCCTCTGCTGCTTTTCCAGGCACATTAACAGGGGACTGGATCAGAAGTTCAGCAGCTGGGGCTTGAACTGGAGCTCATCTGAGATGCCAGTGCTGTAGGTGATGGCTTAAACTGCTGTACCACAATGTTGATCCTGCACTTAATATTTTCTAACAGGCATTTATGTACATACAGTATACCCCTGCTTTCTCTAGTAAGAAAATATGAAAGCGATCAAACATGACAGCAATTAACCCCTATCAATTTTAGCACCTGATGATTTCAAACTCTAAAGTCACAAAAGTTAGTATCAGATAGATGCAAGTGTTCCCAAGGGAAGCAGCAGCCATGCATGGTTCCTTGCAAGATGATGCCTACAGGAAGGGGCTGAAGTAGGAGGAAAAACAAACCACAGGTAACTAGTAAGATTAGTTCTTGAGAACCCTGAGAATACACCCAAAAAACTGTGGGTAACAGCTTTTGGGTGCCTAGGAACCAATATTGATTGAAAGATCAATACAAAGATCAGTTAGTGTGGCCAGTTTGTGATGCAAGTTAAGCAGTTGCCTGCCATGCCAGCATCCCTTGTAAGAGTGTCAGTTGGAGGCCTAATGTTGTTTCTGAGTTTCTAATGCACCTAGGAAGGCAGCAGAAGATGGTCCAAGTGCTTTGGCCTCTGCCACCCTGGATCAGGAAGAAGACCCTGGATCCTGTCTTAGGCCTGGCATAGTTGTGACCATTGCAATTATGTGGGGAGTGAACTAGTAGAAGGAAGCTCTCTCTGTGTGGGTCTTTAACTCTCTTTTAAATAAATAAATTATTTTAAAAGAAGGTGGGATAAAGCACAAAGTACAATCTCATTTTATTTTAAAAAGCTATTTATTTATTGCAAAGGTCAAGACTGAGACAAGCTGAATCTGAGAGCTAGGAGCTTCATTTGGGTTTCCCACATGGGTGTAGGTGGCCAAGCATGTGGGCCATTTTCACTGCCTTCCCTAAGCCATTAGCAGGGAGGTGGATTGAAAGTGGAACAACTAGGACACAAACTAGAACCTACCAGTTGGTGGCTTCTCCTGCTAAACCAAAATGCCAGCCCCCTATCTTACTTTCATAATCCTTATCTTCCATTGCTTCCATAAATAGGTCTATGCCCTCTCACAACAGGAATATTCAAAACTGCAATATTTTGCTCCTTCCCAAATATAATTATTTTTGAAAGCCAAGCTCCTTGTCATTAAGATGATATTATGTACAGTCTTTATATTGTATATGATAAGTTGTTCAAACATGTTTAACCATTATTATAGCAATGTTGCTGAAACTTGTATGTTCTTTGCTGTACTACTTAACCACTTAAGATTTCCCATCTTTATGTGAAACACAAATATTCACTAACTCAACTTTATGCAGTATGCATGGAGCAAATGGCAATGTAACACAAGTACATTAGATATTAACTATGGCAATAATGTGCAGAAGGGATGTCAATGTAGACACATAAAACTGCTACAAGTTTTCGTAGCTTAGGATAACCCAGATAATTGTGTGAACTTTCCAAATCAAGCAGCAGAAAGCTTTTCAGGGGTTGCCTATTAAGTACAGTGACCATTCTAAAAGTCTCAAAACATTTCTGTTAACTAAATCTTTCTCCTACATAATTCTCTGTTGCTCATGAATATTATTGCACATCTTGTGAATAAAGTCACCAACCCAGACTATCTCTTCAGAGACATCTGTATAATAATCACTCTGGAAGAACTAAAAAAAAATTCTCTATGGGATGGAAGACAAACCTATTTGCTAATCAATAAAATAAAGTTCATGTCCTTACACTGAGAGAAAATATTGGGCAGATCTGTTTGCAGCCCTCATATAAATGAGTAAGGAATGTAGGTCTTCCAGTTCTTCAACTGATCCTTGCACTGAGGGAGCCACAACTGGCTTGGAACCACCTCTGCCTTGACCCAGAATCACTTGGGGAAGAGGAATTAACATGAACATGAATGCCATACTGCCTGATGTGCTAAGAGCAAAAAGTCCTTGGTCTCTGAACCAGCAGTCTCAGGTGTTCTGCCAGTAAGCATGATACTGTGGCAGGTTACCTTGCAGGCTTTCAAATAAGATGAAATGTGCATCATTTCTGTCATTCCAGCCACTGCTCCTACCACTTGGTTTTATGAAAACCTCAAGTGGGCCCAGCATGATGGCTCAATGGCTAAATCCTCATCTTGCATGTACAGGATTCCTTATGGGCACAGGTTCATATCCTGTCTGCTCCACTATCCATCCAGTTCTCTGTTGTGGCCTAGGAAAGCAGTAGAGGATGGCCCAAAGCCTGGGGTTCCACATGGGAGATCCAAAAGAAGCTCCTTGCCTCAGATTGGCTCAGCTCTGACTATTGTAGCCATTGAGAGTGAATCAATGGATGGAAGGTTCTTCTCTTTGTCTCTTTTTCTCTGTAAATCTGATCTTCTGATCTGTCTTTCCAATAAAAACAAATATTTACAAAAGAAGATGAGGAGGAGAAAGAAGAAGGAGAAGACTACCTCAAGTAATTTTGGGCAGAAGCAATTTCATAGTATTCTTTTTCCACCCATGAAGTATCCCTGTAGCTGTCTGCCCTAGGGAACCTCTGGCATACCTGTGTGTAACACACAGAGGAATCTGCTCTACACTCTGGTAGGTGCAACTTGGAAACAAGCAGGGAGTTGTCCAAGGGAAAATAAGATTTCATGAATAAATTTAAACCCAGTTGCACAGTTCTTCAACACATCAACAGCCTCTGTGAAAGATTCTATGGGACTGTGCATCACTCACAATGTGGAAGTGGCCAATTCTTTAACATAACCTTGCCTTATCTTTGCCTTCTCCTGCCTGGCATGCCTTCTCTCAGGGATCTCATTTTTAAATGTTGCTGGCCTTAAGGTGTGTCCAGAAACACCATCTTATATGTCTTGGCTTTAGAAACTGCTATTTTCCCACAAGTTGCCATCCCTTATCATCATGGTCATAGAAGTTTAACTACATAAGTGCTGGGAATGTTTTATAGGGCAGACTCTGGGATCCTGTGTTCTAAGTGAATGGCAGCACTTTCCAGGTAATTTACAAGAGTCTTTATTCCCTAGATTAATCCCTTGCATAGGCATTCCTAACTTCATTTTGAAAAAGAAAATATAGGGTGACACCACAAAATGACATGAAAGGGGAAAATGGGATTATCACATGGATGTGTTTGTTCCCATAGCTATCTGTTCAAGGTTTCCTAAAAGAACAAAGAAGAAACTGAGAATGCTGATTGTGAGACCAGTTTCACGATTAAGTATTCACTTTGTTCAAGCAAAACAAGAGAAGTTTAAGGAAACTTCTCTTTCATTTTTCATATTCATGGTGACTATTCAAGTGTAAACTGTGGTGGAAAGAACGCACTGGCCAGGGGTCTTGCTACAAGGAGCTATCTTGTAAAGTTAACTTGCTTTGACAAGTTCCAGATGTGCTACATCTGACTAGAAATACTGAGATGCTGGAGCCTGGCATGGATCACAAAGCTGTGATTTCTTGCTATACAGAAGATGAGTGCCTTGACAATCAATTATTGTCTGTTTCTGGGCTCTAAAAATAGAATATATTTGAGGCTTTTAATTTTTTGTATGTGATCCTAATGTTTGTTTGGAATGTTATGCTTTGTATTTCACATGTGAGAAAGCATTTCTGGGTCTCTGTTTTATATTTTGGTTGCCACAATTGTCCACCTTCTTAACTGTGTGACAGTGGGAGAAATGGTAGCTCTATGTTCTAAAGCCTG